CGCGAGCATAGTTCTGGAGCCAATGTCACAGAACCTCCTTTCTAGGACAATATTCTGCTTCTGCCACAGACTGAATAAGAAAGCACTAGATGGAGAATATATCTGAAGAACCATTTCTAATCGAACATTGTGTAAGAGGCGCTACCGCTTGCAGAGATCTCTTTGACAGATTCCTTTCAAGTGTCAGGGCAAGAGGATCATTTAGTTCACACTGAACTGACAAGTTCCTCCTCCCAGAGCACTGGAACTATGAAAGCATTGTGTGCCCCTTTTTTTGCCTGGCTAATAGGAAGCTTTGTTTTCCTTCAATTATTAAATTTTCCTTAGAGACAATTAGTTTTTATTTTCAATAACATCTCCCTTCCTTTCTTCCTTCCCTACTTGTTTTGTGTCTATTTCGCGGCTTTACTTTTTTGTCATACTTGTGTTTAATGTTATACAATATATATTAATGTATACAATGTATTTAATGTTATAAATACATTTAATGTATTTAATGTTATAAATACATTTAATGTATTTAATGTTATAAATACATTTAATGTATTTAATGTTATAAATACATTTAATGTATTTAATGTTATACAATATTTCAGAATAATAGAACAGCCAATCACACACAAATCGGTGATTTTTAATCCATTGGATGATGAGTAAATCAATGCCGTGTACCTAAGAGCCAATAAAAGGTAAATACTTCCTGGAAGTAGGTACAGATATGAATAAACATAAATATCTTATATAAAATATCTTAAAAGTTATACATTTTGGGTGGTTTACCATGTGTCCAGCCAGCCCTATCCTACGAATGACAGGAAATCAAAAGTGATAGTTTTGGGGAATGTAATCTTGATAGGCAAGACTTACGACTTACTAACAACCATATGTATTGCTTTCCATTGATTAAATGCCAGCCATGTTGCAGGTGCATTCCGTACATCTTATTTAATGCTCACTCTTAGAGACTCCAAAAGTTAGGTTTTCTGTTAAATGCATACCCAGGTGATCCTAATGTTCAACTAGGGTTGAGAATTTCTCATCTAAAATAAAAGGAAAAAGTACAGTTGCATGCAGATCACATCTAATGTGCCAAGGTAAAGAGCCAACTGAGGCCCTGGCATCTGTCCCTGGACAGGGAGAAAAGTGGCTTGCCTGAAGCTGAGGTGTGTGATGTCAGCTGTCTGAACCACCTGCAGCATGGGAACTTTAGATAGGAACATTCAACTCTAGAGAACTTATAATGGAGATAATGCCTTTGACAGTATTGAAAAACCAAACATGTCACCTGAAAAGTGATTATATTAAAGAAGTGCAATGGTCTAGGCTCAATAGAACCAGCTTCCATGAAGGCTCGTGGGAGGAGCAACCACCAGGAGTACATGGGCCTGTTTTACTAGAGTAGGAAACATTTGAAATGTCAACTCCTCTCTGAAGCTTGGCCTAGTTCCTCATGCAGGCCTACTTGAGACTTAATGTTCATTCCTCTCTGTATCTCTTATGATAGAGGGCAGTTGTTTGAGTTTGCTTTCACCAGCAGACTGTAATCTTTGATTTCACCTGTCTTATCACTGGATCTTCAGAGGGAAATACAGTATCAAGCAAATAGTAGGTGCTCAATAAAGCTTTGAATGAATCAGTACATTAGACATCTCATCGGATGTCTTATCCTCGCACGTCCAAAGAAACAGATGATCACCACTGTCAACAAAACTATTTGAAATAGGTTTGAACATGGCACTGGGCCTCTGTTAGAGGACAGTAAATATGGCACAAAGTGACTAGCACATTGTCTCCATTGTGATGAAGTTATCTATATTTTCTGGTTTCTGAGGGCTTGGACTATAAATCACTGAGCTCTGAAATGAGAGCTCCATAAATAAATTGGTTCCAGTGAGTTAGTCTTACAACGTATGGTATATTTCACAGTCAAAACTAGAATTCTAATGAGCAGTCGTGGTGATGAATAGACCTCCCTTGTAACTTTCTTCCTAATGTGATTAGTGGTGGTAGTTAGAGGTTGACTGTCCTGTTCACATATTGTAGGCCAAACCTTTACACCTGTCAAGACAGGTATAGATTTAGAATATTTTATTTAACAAGTTAAGCCTGAGGTTATGCTTCAGACTGTTATGATTGAGTGCTACAGAGAGAAGGGAATTTCTCATTTCCTTCTGGAAAGCAAAATGCAGATTAGCATGTTGGTGATTACTCATTTATCCTCCACACCCTCCCTCCCCCAAAGCATCTCAGCGGTTTTCTGTTGAGTTGATTTATGACAGCAATACCAAACTGGAGGTTACAAAGTGCTATCTTTTGAGAAGATAATCTGAAGTTTGGATAGTGAGTAATCAATTCTATCTATTTAAGATATTGCAATTGATTTTTATTTTTAAATAGACTTTTTAAGGGACAAGTTCAGGGAAAAAAAGGTGTCTTAAATTGACTGACACTGTATCAGGTCTTAACAAACTCTACTTCCCTGCCTCCCACCATGCCCCAGAGGGTTTGGTAGGCCACATTCTCTTAGCACTTCATGCTTTAGGTAGATGGGCAGAGTGTCATTTCCAAATACACTCCTCTCCACACTGTCAAGAACTTGGCTGCCAATTTAGATTCACCTCAAGTGTCATGTTTAAGATGTCAGCAAGAAAAGTATACCCCAATTCTAGGCATGCTTTCACTTGGCCATAGTCACTGGCAACATAAAAGACCACCAGTTGTGGGTTAAAATTGGTGGTCAGGTTGTAAATGGAGAACTGGGGGACTGAGAAGCTTCATTCAGCTCACTTAATCACAGCATATGCTCTAGAAGGAGTCCCAGAGGCCCAAACCTTTATCTCACAGATAAGGAGTTGGAGGCCTGGAAGGTGCCTTGAATTGGCCCGCTTCCCACAGCTGGTTAAAGACAGATAAAAAGACCAGGCTGGATCTCCTAAACTGCAAATCAATCTATTTTCTTTTTTCTATGGCCTATACTATGAACATAAATTATAAAGTAACATATCACTCATTAATGGCAATGGTTTTTAGTTAAAATACTAGAAGTACTATTTCAGTAAGCAGGTGATCTAAAGTTGTGATCTTCAAACTTTAGTATACATTAAAATCACTCAGCTTGTTGAAACAGATTGCTAGGCTCCGGTGTCAGAGTTAGTAGGTCAGGGGTAGGGCCTGTGAATTTGTACTTCTAATAGGTTTCCAAGTGAAGCTGATGTGAATGCTGTTAATCTGGGAACCACACTTTGGGAACCACTGGTTTAAAGCAAGCCCAGGCTATTTCCTGCCATTTATCATTGGCCACCTGTGCACTATACTAATTGAAAGCCACATGGTTATCTCCCCAGCAAAATGTTACCAGTGAGGTTTTTTTTTTTTTTTTTTTTTTTTTTTTTGGTCATTCTCTTGTGCATTTTCCATTGAAAGGCTATTACATTACAGCATAGGGGTAAAGAGCTCTGGCTTGAGAAGTCTATGCATTCAACTCTGCTCTCAGATGCTGCATGATCTTGAGCAAGTCATTTCACATCTATGCCTGTTTTCTCATCTAAAAAATGGGAATATAATCATCTTACCCACATAATTGTGGAAAGAGGAAGACAAAGAGTTTAATAGATGATAATCACTTGATATGTCAGAGACCAGTGGGGGGTGGGGGTGGGAATTACCCTAGCTCTTACTGGAAGAATTGAATGATGATAATTACTTGGGTGAGGGAAGGGCTTGGAAACCAAATAGGGGTGGTGAGGGAAACCAGACATTTAGCAACAGCATAAAGCTGCAACCACTTCTTGGGCTAGAGTAAAAATGGGAGGAGGTGATGTTTCCAGAGCCTTCTCCTGAGAGCTAGAGTAGAGGGGGTTTGCTCAGACCTGAAAGTGAGGGTCTATCTGGCAGGAGCTAGAGTCAGGGAAGAGACACCTAGAAGTTGGAGGGCAAGAGATCCAGGGAATATAGTTCTCTGTGATACCAAACAGAGCAGGGGGAAAGCAGAAAATCAGTCTTGGAGCTATTGCCATACTCAAAAAATATTTATTATTGTTGCCCTGAGAGTAATTATTTGTATGTCCCTCTCCCCTCTACTACTGGACTATGTCTTCAGGTCTAGACCCTCACCTTCACATGTGCCTACATGTAAACACCATATACATGCAAAGTGGTATTGCCTTGCGTCCACTTAGCAATAAAAACAAATGGGAAAGTTATCTACAGTAAGACATGTGCGTCTTGACTAGGTGATATAAAGGAAAATCTGCATTTGCGGTGTAGCTTAGCTGCTGTCTACAGCCCCATGTCATCCCTGCACTGTGAGTGTTCAAAATATGCAGACTGTACAACAGAGACAAAACTAGACACTTGGTTCTTAAGGATGATTCTCAAGGTTTGAGGATGAATGCAGAGGAGGCGAGAAGAATTGAGGGATGATGAGCATTCTAGTTTTCCTATAGCGAGAACATGCCTTGAAAGGACATCACCTAGAGGTATTTCCTCATTTAAGATGGTGAAATTGGCCAAGTGCGGTGGCTCATGCCTGTAATCCCAGTACTTTGGGAGGCCGAGGTGGAGCGGATCACGAGGTCAGGAGATCGAGACCACCCTGGCTAGGTGAAACCCCGTCTCTGCTAAAAATACAATTAGCGGGGCATGGCGGCGGGTGCGTGTAGTCCCAGCTACTCAGGAGGCTGAGGCAGGAGAATGGTGTGAACCCAGGAGGCGGAGCTTGCAGTGAGCCAAGATCACACCACTGCACTCCAGCCTGGGTGACAGAGCAAGACTCTGTCTCAGAAAAAAAAAAAAAAAAATGGTGAAATATATTAACAACAGCTCAGTATTACTTACATGTGAACACTCAATGTCCTTCGCAACTTTACAAAAATGAGATACTGTGATAACGATCAAAGCGGGTGGGTGGGAGAAATAGAAATAGCAGCAATATTTATAAGCCAAAAGACAGCTGTTTTAGAAAGATTTCTTAGGTGGTAAGTGAAATTTCAACCCAAAACTTAAGTTTCAAAACAACCTTTATTCTGTTTGAAGATCTAATACAATGCATTAAAGCAACTTAAAACAAGACATAGCTCCACTGAATCTATAACTTGAACGAAATGTCAAGGAGGCACACTACCCCCACCCCCCACCCCAGTTGCCTTGTGAAGGCAAAATTACAACTGACCGTGACATCCTCCCTCTCGTCAAAAGACCAACTTTATTTTAACAATGTCATATAAACAGATTTGTAAAAACATTGAACTGATTGTAGCTTTAAAAAATACACAGGTATAAATGAGTTTTTTTTTTGTTTTGCTTTTTTTTTAAATATATATATATATATATTTATATATATATATATTAGCAGCATCCTGGGCAGTTAATGCTATCTCATGGTGACAAGTTTCATGTTAAGTTGGATAGTCTTTCCAATTGACTCAATTCTATTTCTTCCCCACCAGTATTTTCTAGAACTAGTTTTTTAAAAAATAAGAATTTGGCATTTTGGAACTTTGTCCCATGTGAGACATTGTGCTTTAAACTGCCCCTTTCTAAAAATGACCCTAAACTCAAACAGATCTCAGGGTCTGCGATTCAACTAACTTGGATACCATGCATAGCAAAAGCACAGTTGTTAAAACCAGCAGAATTTTTCTTCCAAAGGAACATCAGTAGGACTTCCCAAACATGTTACTAGTTCATAACCAGCTACATGACAAAGCAATTGGTTTCCCACAGTGACAGCTCACATAAACACATTTTGACTCGACACACTGAAAACAAGGATTTCCAAGCTAAGCAAGTCATCTGACCAGCTCCCTAAAAGGAGTAACTTTTAAAAACACAAAAAAGCCAAAGAAATATGAACTTCTCACTTCACTTGCAAACAATTTTCACCTTTGTAAGACAAAACAAAGCAACCTCAATGGGAAAAATCCCATACACATATATAAGAATTGTACTAGACGTTTGCTTGTTATGTACTTGAACTCAACTACTGTGGATCTGTTTTGGCTGAAAGGTGTACCGGAAACACAGTCCATGCACATATACATATATACATATATCAAAAGGCCGTGAAGTTATCAGATGTTGCAAACACATGCTTTTTGCTTTTTCACGTGGTTATGATCTCTCGTGTAACGTGAGGTCCCAGTGCTCCCACTTCTATGCTCTATCACAGCCTCACTGCAGCTTAGCTTCTGGCTTTATCTTTAGGATGCTACACTGGGTGGGAAAAACTGATGCATGGATAAAATCACATATCAGGAGTGCCTCTGCTGTATCTAGTCATACTCAGCCGTTCAGACTATTGTTAGGAGGACTGTCTGATGAAACTCAAAGTGCCCGGCTAGCAAAATATCTAAAAAGACAAATGTGGTGAGCAAGCTACACCGCAATCAAAAAGGCATCGGGCAAAATAGGTCTGGTGTAACTCAGTCATATGGAATGATGAATCCTACTTTGCTGTTCAGTGAAAAGATCTATTGCACTTATGTTTGTGAGATGCAAAAATAAGGCAACTGCCTAAATACCATGTCATCTTGCAAAGACTGTTGAAGCCAAAATTCACAAAACTGTAGCTTTTAATAAAAATATTCAATCTCAGATCTTATATTTTAGAAATAAAAATTTGTACGTAATAGCATACATGTGCTATCAAAGAAAACCCACAAACCTAGTTTAAAAACTATGAACCAATTAACTATTAGACTTGTGTGTGATCTAGAAGGATATCACAATAACTTTAAAGCAGAGACACAGACTAAACCAGGGAAATCATCAGTTGTCTGGCGATGAGAGGGAGATGGTCAGATCAGTGAAGTCAGGTTTGAGGGCTAACAGTCTTGCTGTAAGACTGACTTTTGCTTCAGTATGAGTAGCTTCATGTAAAGAGGAAAAATACATTCTACAGATGATTCACTCAGCTGCAAGACCGATTCTTTCAAAAGGAACAACGTTAAAAAACAAAGGAACAGAAAACCCTCACCCTAGTACTTCAACAGAAATATAGCTGTGGGTAAATCTAATATGGAGAAAGGGAAATTTGAAATTGCAAGATTTCATTTAAGTCTATTAGGGTAGTGACCATATTATGGTTGCTAATTAGTCTTTATTCCTCCTAACACATGTACAGTTCCTACTGAACATACCAGCTTTTGCATATCTAAATCAGGAAGAGAGATCTCTCACTCCTGCCCTAAACGGGAAACATTATGCTAACTATGCTTCCTTTTCCCCCCCGTAGTGAAGCACATACAATGATTAGGATGAATGAGAAGGACTGCCACTTGGATTCCTGCAATGGCCATGACCTTAGCGAGCTCCACACAGTCCAGAGCAGTGACAGTACGATTGTGTCCATTTGCTTTACGTTCTAAACCAAATGGAAAGCTAGGAGTAACCAACATCCCACCAAAAGTATTTTTTCAGATCATGCGTTTTTTTCCTAAAATGAGTGAGTATTTGCTGGTCGTGATGGATAGTCCAATGTGACAGAGATCATCCCTTTAAACCAGTGTTCTAAACAAAGGTGAGCACTGTTCCAGGAACCCAAAAACAAACTTGGCACTTCCTTCCTAAGAACTGAAATACCTGACCGGTCACACTGTGTTAGTTACAGTAGGTTTGTAATTGTCATTAATTGATAACTAGCAAATCAAAGTGAGAAAAGACTGAAGTAGAAGAAGCAACTTCACTTTGCAGTTATTCACTTCTCTGTAAATCATGAGAAAGACAAAGTGCATATAACCTTGCCTCCCCCTCCCACCACCCGACCTGATACATCCCTTCACTACATTCCCCCCTCCCTAGATTCAAGAAGTTCACAATTCTTTATGAAATAAACATTGCCAGGTACCGTATTTTAAGAGTCTTAAAACAACATTGTTGGACTCAGCAATACTTTGTCATATTCATATATCTTTTTCTTTTTTTTATTGAATAAAGCAGCTTTGAAGCTTATCAGGCACTGCCCAACAAAACAGTCCAAAAAAATCTGTTATGAACTTTTTAACCTTGGGCTAACAGCCAAGTACTCTGTACAAGAAAAACTGTAAAATATTTCATAGTTTTAATTCTGAAGCCATTTTTTTTTTTTTACTGGCATCCTGTACATTTCTTTTAAAAAAGGGTAACAAAAATGAATATTAACAAAAATCCGGGACAACAATATTTTCAAGCAACAAAAACTGGGGTGGGGAAGCTTATTCTGAAGGTACATTTAAAACTGAAATAACAACTTAATGAAAATTAAGAATTGCATAGCGCTGTGAATTTAGCCTTCAGCAAAACAAAACAGAAGCTATTTGGTATTGATACAAATCCATCTATTTGATAGTTAGTCATCCAATATTATGTACATATTTTATATACTGAATGTCATTTTAAGTCCTGTTTTCCAAACTCCATTTTTCTGTTGCTGGGTTTTTGTTTTTTGACAAGTTTAAACACTTTCTGGCACTTTCTATGACAGAATTTCTTCTGAACATACATGAACTGACATTCTCCCAAAGCGTCCCTTGTGAGAGGAAGTGCCTTTCTGCTACATATCGTTCATTTGTTAGAAAATGAAATAATCCACAGTGCGATGTGTCTGGGTCCACCGTGCACAGCAACATCCAGGCTAAACCAGGCTGGACCGAACCTTCTCAGGCCAGGGTTCTTCTGCCTCTCTCTCCTCCGCTCTCCACAGTCCCAACTTTCAGCTGGTAAAGCTTCAGAAAGCATTAACAAGCACCATGGTTAAAGGCCTCTTTGTCCCTGCACGCAGAGATTTTTGCATTTCTTTTTCTCTTTGTGTTGTATGTGGTTGTGGCTTTAAATTAAACCAAAGAAAAAAAGAAAAAGAAAGGATAAGCACTCCAGCTTAGAAACGTGTGGTCATCATACAGCCCTAGGCTGCATATCTTCCCCTACTTCTTTTTTTGTGAAAGAAAGCTCTAGTCCCATCCGAAGACAGATGGCTTCGTTTCTGCAGCTCAATTCACAGATCAGACTGGAGAGGAGCCCTTTGCTTTCCAGAGGCCTCAGGGTGGCTGAACTTCAGGAGAAGGATCAGAGAGTAAGCGCTTCATCGCCTCTGCTGTGCATATACTGGGTAGGCTAGTGTGACATTGAGGGAGTCGTTGTGCTGCACGAGGGAGGTGTGTTGGTAATGTAGCACCAGTTCTTTCAGAGAGCTGTACAAGTTATAGGGCTCGGCAAAGCCATAGCCAGTCGCTGTTTTGTTTATGACACAATGCTTTACTTCGCCGTCCACCCTAGAGAGGAGAGAAGAAAAACCGTCTTTTGAGCTTGCCCAAGACAATTCACAACTCTACAGAGCATGTTTAATAAAAAGCATCATTGTGCAGTCTCAACTTGGGGAAAGGGTCCTAGGTTACCGTAGACTCTTGGCCCTGTCACATGGTAGACACTTGGCTGAGTGCCTTGGGTAGGTAACCCAGCTTCACTGACCTACTTTATTTTCATCTTTAAAATGGTTTAAAGGGAAGACAATGGTAAAATGTATGTAATACAGTTACTTTGAGAAATGAAAGGAGATCATGCATGCAATATGCTTGATAAAATGCCTGACATGCGGTAAGCGTGCAACAAATGGTAGCTTCCAACCATGATGAGGACAACTATCAGCAGGGCTCCATGACTAGCAGTGTTACTATTACTCCCAGGATGATTATTCATAGGATTCCTTCTTTCTGGCTGTCCTTGAGGTGTCTGCACAACTCTCCATCTCTGCATGTGCCCTTAGACAAGGTAAGGACAAAAGGACCCTTCTTTGCTGTAGGAATATTTCCCTCATTAAATGAAAGGTGATCATGGAGTATAACATACTTTTAGAACCATTCCCTACTAGAGGACATTAATTTCTCTGAAATGGTGATGTCAGTGATCCCATGAAATACCTGTCTCAAGGATAATGATCAGAATCCTTTCTCTTTTTTGACCTGTTCCTGATGAGTTTTTCCTATGGGTGATGTTCTCACATAAATTACCTCAGATTCTAACCATAGTAGCCTTGAGAGGCAAAAAGGGCAGGCATTGCTGCTTCCATTTTAAAGACGAGAAAAAAAGGTTTAGCGACGTCTCGTGATTAATTAGCACTGAATGGGAATCCAAAGCCTAGTCTTCCAGCTAAACAGTAGGTATCTATTAGACTGTATTAACATATATGTATGTTTCTATTAGATTGTATTAACATATGCTTCTGGCTAGACTTTAAAATGGTATTACGTCTGCTTTGGTTTCTCTTCTACATTACTGCACTATAAGCTTATTCAAGACTATTTCAAAACTCAATGAATGAATGAATGAAACATCTCTTCATGAGATGTTGTAAAGAATAGTTTGCTGGAGATACATACACTACAGAGCAGGCGTAGCAGCCCTGTTTACTGCTCTCCCGGACAAGAAAAGTGCCATCTCGCTTCCCTCGCAACAGGTTTTCAGCTTTGTTTCGGTTGCTGCTTCCAACATTCCACGTCTTCTCATCATGATGGGGTAAATCTTCATCATCTTCCACCAGCGAATATTGGCTAGGCAGGCAGGACAGAAAGTTTCTAAATGAAGAGTGCCAGAGCCATCAGCCTGCCTTGCTGTCTTCCCTAGGCATACCCCAATCACTTCCCTCTTGGCCCCTACCAAGCCAGTCAGACTGGCCATCACATGCCTGCCTCTGCCTGACCTGAGTTTTCCTCTCCTGGTATTCAGCCTCCAGTGCAACGTCCCAGGACAAAGAGTTAGCAATCAATTGTACTATTTCTGTTTTCAGGCAACCACACTCAGGTACCTGGGCAGACTGGAAGGTATTAAAACAATCTTGTTTATCCAGTTTAGATCAGGACATTGACTAGGAAGATTGCCAGTTTTTGAATAATTCAAACAAAGTATATACTTAAGCTTTAAAATATATTAAGCATAATTATTTTCTCTCTGGCTGTTCCAAAAATATTTTGGGATTTTTCAGATGTTCGGGGACATCATTATGGACACAGAGTTGTTTCACAGCATTATGAGTAAAAATAAATCCTAGTCCTCCTTAGCTAAGCTTTCTTTTTTTAAAATTCTGGATAATGGCACTGAGTTTATACATTTTCTCCTACAAGATGTTCCAAACTCAGTAAAATTCCTCACTTGTTCTAAAAACAAAGCAAGCATGCATTTTCCTAAAATGAGAAAAATCTTCTGCTGTCACCATCTTTAGTAACTACTTACTCTTCAGTGTTTTCATTGCCCAACCACTCGTTCAACTTCTTTTGCCGAACACCTTTTTGAGTCAACCACCTGAAAAACAGTTTTGAAAAAAGAACGCATTAACTCATCCTGAATTGTAGCAATCACCAGTTATTCATGTATAGGATTCCATTTCAAATACTTACATCAAGTATTGGTCTCTCGTCTTTCTCAGCTGGATAAGGTCTGGTTTAATGCTGTTCATACGTTTGTCAATTTCTCGATACTCAGCTGCCTGCTTCTTCAAGTCTTCTTCCAATCTTCTTCTACTGTCAATAATTTCACTGATTCGAGACTTCAACTTATCATAATTATGCATAATCCTGCAGGCAAAAGAAATGCATTTGTCATTATCTGGGTACGTCATGAACAGTCCCCAAAGTTTATGAAAAGTTTCACTATGGTTTCCCAGCAGTTTTCCTCAGGTAAAGCGTGGCTTCTCTTCCTGTCATTTTTAAATCATTCAAAGCACAGAAAGCGAGATCATTTTTAAACGGTTTTAGAGGATTTTGGTTATCTCTAGCACAAGAACAAGGGAAACAACCATGGTTCACCAACCTTTGTATTTCTTTCTCATTGCCCTCACGTTTAAACTTTTCTATGTATTCTTTGCTGTAGCGCTCCTGGGTCTGGCACTGTTCTTCAAATATTTTTATGGTTTCATTAAATGCTTCAATAGCTGTCCTTTTCATTTGGATTTCCTGCAACATAATTTTAAAAAGATAATGTCATACCTTTCATAGAAAAATTTCTTACTGCAAGACACTACCAGGACATTTGATCCATATTATTAGCAGAGTGGGACTCGAATTCATAAAATCCATTAAAATAGTATCCCAGAAACAAATATTTCCTCTGGAGAATTTTCTCAATCTATGAAAAATGATTGCTTGGCAATTTCCCATAGTTTTTATCTTCCTAAAAGCTATTGTAGTTTCTATAGCATCTCTGTTGTTTTCTATTCCCTCTGGCATTCCCAGATACATGAGTGACCAGTGAAGAGTAGGGGTCTAGAAAAACACAGCAGTAAATGTAGCCCTTCCTTTTGGTTGCAGGATATATATTAATGCCTAAATCTCCGTTTCAGGGATTAGAGACGTCTGTGGAACTTCCAGTTATTACTAACTTCCAATCTAAACAGGATCCTTCTATCAGGAATTAAATCAACTTGAAACTCAGTGACTGCTTCAGGTAATCACGTGAACTTAACATTTTTGGTTTAAAGGTTTAGAGATATGCTAGAATAATCAACAATGATTCACAAATAAATGATCTCACCCCCACTTCATTCATAAAAACCCTTTAAATTCTTTTTTCCATGTTAGTCTTCAAAAACTAAGAGTTCTAAACTTTTAATCTGATTTTCATAGAAAACTCACCTGGGATGTACGGGTATATTCTTCATATAATCTATCATATTCTCTACTTTTTTCTTGAAACTGAGTGTTATATTCATGTAATTTTTTCCCTACAGCTTCAATATTATCTTCTTTGACAACTTGATCCTAGAAAGATTAAAATAAATTCAATGGATGAGGTATTTAATCAAATAACAACTGTTTAACAAAATAGCTGACATGGAAACATCTTTAAAATTGCAATTATGTAATTACAAATGTAAAGTTTTTTAGACTTGATTACATGTAATTCATCTGTTTCAAATGTTTTCTAAGTATTCAAAGTATCTTGTCTAAACATCGTAACTGGATAATTCATTCAGTTTTTATTACCTGTTGGTATTTGGATACTGGATAAAGTAATTTCACATCCAGCTTGGGATTATACTGAGCTAGAGATTCATTCCGGTAGTGGTTTATTAATTCAACCACAGAATTGAAGGTTAATGGGTCAGAGAAGCCATATTTCCCATCTCGATGAAATATTTTGATTAATTTGTTATTTCCCCCTTTCCTGTAAAAACAATATAAAAATAAAGGTATTAACATTTTCAAATAAAGAAATATGTTTTAATATCAGCCCAAAACCCTAATTTCAGCTATATTCCCTGGCTTACCTTAGTGTAAGAGTATAATCACCATGCATTTTAGTAGACGCATCTCGTACCAAAAAGGTCCCATCTGCTGTATCTCGAAGTTTTTCATTCACTTCTTCCCTGAAATGAAAACACAAAACAATGCTCATCTTAAGGTTCAGTGACCACAGCTTTCTATTTTTTCAAATAGACTATTTTTTAGAGCAGTTTTAGGTTCACAGCAAAATCAAGTGAAAAGTACAGTGAGTGCCCATATTCCTCCTGCCCACATAGATTTAAATGAATTGCATTTTCAGAGCTTGCTAATAAAAGCTTACTAATAATTTGTTTAAATAGAAATGTCAGCAATTGCAGTCTCATCACAAACAGGTGCATATCACTTTTACCACTGGTGTATCTGTGGCACTAAGTTTTTATTTTTTCAAGTAAACATTACAGTCTCTCTGACAAATGAGCACAGAAACTCATGATCTCAAAAACCTTACTCCCCCTTCCCAAAGCTAACATAAAATGGCATTGTTTTCTTACTGTGTTTAAGACAAGAATTCTTAGAGTTGTGCTTAACAGATAGAGTGCCTTCACACTCTGTCAATAATGAAACTTCCCAGGTATTTAATTTCCTGTGGCATCCAGCACCCACAGTTCTCCAGCGCTCAGTGACTTTTTCTGGTCGTCTTTGGAAGAGAACCAACTATGCTTCATGCTTATGTTGGATGATATCCTAAAAATGGAACTTAGCAAGCTGGTGCTTTTCTTTCTCTTAATCTAAAACTCTCTGTATCTAGTGAAAACGAAGTTTCTGTAGCCTTACCTCGAGATATCTCCCCAGTACCATTCAGCATCTTGTAAGGACATATTGTTATTCATACCGTTGTTGGCTACAGTAGTGGGTTTTGGTGGTTTAGGAGGCAGTGCTGCAGATGAAAAAGAAAAAGTTGTTTGCAATCCCAACTATATTAGCACTAAATTTCTTTAGATAAGTACTTTTACTTTAAAAAAATCCAAAAATTAGAGTAACTGAAATATACAGCATTAGTTCACAATTCCATGCAATGTGGAAGATAATTTTCTTAAAAAAAATATTTCAGAGCAAGGCTCAAAAAGAAATGAAACTGAAAAGGAGAAAAGAGAGAGAGCCTTAGAAACTGACAAATAAATTGGGCTGGCCATGTGAATACATTTCAAAGTAAATCCAGAGTCATGACATTCTACACTTCTAGATTCTAGTTAGATTAAAGTTTCATGCCTGGTCAAATCCATCTAAAGTAAGAAACTATGAACATATGAGTAGCAGAAATAACATGAGTTGGCTTTAATTTCCTCCTCTTATTTAATTATGAAAGACAAATTTGGTCTCTGTCCTCCACAAACGTTGTTGCAGTAATAAAAAGGCTCATCTACAGCAGTATGTTTTCCACAGCAGTATGTTTTAAGAGGAGGAATTGGGCTTCTCTAATCTTAGTATTTCAGGTACTGTTCTGCAAAAAGCCACTTTAAGAAACTCTCATCTGTGCCCTAAATCTCTTTAGTATTTATGTTAATATTCTGTTGGATAAATAGTGCTCTATATGCCAGGTATGATTAAAAACCATATCCCCCTTCCTCAATGTCAAATCAGTATTCATATATACCAATTGGTGACAAAAGACTGCAATATTCCTGAATATCTTAAATGGGGGCAGGGGAGCTAACACTGGAATAAAACAACTTAGGAAACAAAATAAATCTAGGATTTTTAGGTAAATTCTGTCATAAGTTTTTAAAGCACTGTTACTATTTTAACTTATGCAAAAAATGATTTCAGTTATCTACCAAGAATATTTTACAGACTAACAATAATGGAACGTCAACTTCCTTTTTCATTATAATATCTTAATACAAGAGAGGACAAGCAAAGTCTCAACATCTAGAACTGAGTTGTAATCACTGCAACATTTTACATGCTTTCTAAAGTACTGTTATCACTGCAAAGTGCCACACTGTTCTCATCCACTGGCAACAGAGAAAAGCAGCACAAAGGATGCATCATTTTAATTACCGGGACAATATCCCACAACATAACTCACCCAGGGAAGGATCTCGATTAACAAAAGACACCAGTGAAAAACTAGAGTTCAATTCATATCCATTCAAGTAAGAATAAGCATTTACCACACACAGCCTGAGCTGCTTGCTTCCAGACAGTCAAACAATCTGTTTAATTTTTAAGCCATGAGCAAACTAATTTTTATCAATGAAACAAATTAATAAAAACAGAAATCTAAAAAGGATCTTTTTTACAGTAGCTTTCAAAAAATTAAAAAGCCACGAAATTAACTAATTCTAATACCGCAGTATTACCTGGTGGGTCCATTTCTATATAAAACATCAAGTCTGTGCCACAATTTATATCTGTCTTGGCATATTCTAAATCCAGGTCTTCCATATTCCAAACAGTATTGTACATTTGTGCAAGAGTTTCCTTGGCTGAGCTCAGTTATAAGAAAAGAGTCCGGCTTTCTTTGTAATGGTGTCTTGGAATTCATTTTAAAACCTATAAGGGGCTGCACTGAAACCTATTACATCACACGCCCCAGCCAATCAAGTCAGAAAAATGTCACCAGACCACTCCTGCTTCATCAGTTCTCTTCTATACCAGCCTTAATATAATGCCAACCTCACTGAGAAGCTACATTTAATAGAACTGCAATATATACACGCTCATCCTTTCAAAAAGGTGTTTAATTTGACTGTTCTCCTCCAGCAGCGAGTTTTCTAATTCCTTGTTTATTACTCCTTGCAGCATGGTACGCTCTGCTGTTGGCAGGTTGACAAGAGCTGATATGCTGCAGCTCCGAGCTTTTCTCCCCACTTAGTGCATCTGGGTTTATAGATAGCCCAGTCATTCCTTGGTTTAAAAATCTTACAAAGGCATTAAAAGGGTATACTGAAGCTATATTTTATAGTCCTTAGATATCTCTCATGTATAAGAGAAGCAGAACGGACTACTCCTGGTATTTAATTTCAGTCCTCCGTAATTCACTGAAAACCCAGAATTTAAACACTGTCACAAATGTACCATATTAGAAAGGACAGTTAAAAGAAAATGTATAGATAAAATGTCCTCCTCTACCAAACATTCCAAAGTTAAAACTAGACTTTATAGACGAACAATGAAAATTCTGAATAGGAATGCAGATGCCTATTAGCAGAAATATTAAACGTAATTGTCAACATTATTAATGAGAATTTTAATGTGACTGCCTAAAAAAACGGGGCAAAGAAAATGCTTCTTCCAAAAAGAAAGAAGCTATAGATCAGAATGCAGAGTAGAGGTATATTTATCTTTGCAAAATGTTTCACTGATGAACCCATCTTCACTACTAATACTGCTTGAACCGGGAAGATGATGTAATCACTTTTTTTTTCCCCCTTTTTCCCCTCTATCTCAAATGCTTCACTCCAGGACAATTATTCTTTCTTAGCACTACTTAATATAAATAAATCAATTTTAGTTCTTCAAAGTCATTCTGCATATAATCCTATCACCCTTATAGGAGCCCACTGTACATTCTCATTGTGAACCAATCTCTTTACATTCACAATATTACGATGGCGGGGGGGGCTCTTCCCCCACGTAAATGTGGCTCATTTAAAAAACTATAGTGGGCTCTGTGATCTATGTACACACGTATGTCACATATTTGTGTGACCATTTAAAAAACACAGAAACCCTTGAGACTTTCTGTAAAATTTGGGATCATAAAATATATGAAAAAGCAGACCAAAGGCAAGGCATTCTGTTCTCTGACGTCCCCCGTCTAGTTTAATTCATTTTCCCATTATTGGGAAAAGCAGGCTCACCTTGTTCCTTCCCACCCTCTCCCACTTTTCTATTTGCCTAAGTTTAGATAAACCTGAACTCAAAGTCAAATAAAAATGGTAAAAGTGGCGTTGTGCCCTCAGATAAGATTCAGAGAAACATTCTTTTTTAGTTTAATTAAAATGTCGACCCTCCCCCAAAGCAAGGAGACAAGTTCTCCGAGCAGCTGTGGCCGGTGTAACAGCCCAGAGTGCCAGTCCGTGCATTTGGGAACCGTCGGTGCAAATCAGTCTGGCTGTTGGATCTGCTGTGGCAAACTAACCCAGGGAGAAGGCAGGGAGACAGGTGATTTTCCATGGTCTCTCCAAGCCCTGGCCTGGCACCAGCTTCCAGCCAAACACGTTGTAATTAGTACCTTCTTCCTGAACTTCCAACCTAAACCCTATCTTTCCCAGCCACTGTCCCCCTCAAGGACAGGGGGAGTGTCTCCCCTAAGCTCCCATCTGTCCTCCCCAGGCAGCGCTTACAGGGGCGCACGCACACACACGTACTCCAAGACAAACTACAGAAAGGCACCGCTCAGATAAACCACAGGGAAGGAACAGAGAAGTGCACAAATTCAAGGCAACTTACTTTGCAGGTTATGCATTTCAACGGTTTCCCTTTGAAATGCCTGTATCCGACAATGAAAAAAAAAAAATCCCCAAAGCTGTTCTTCCACCAAGTGGGCCAAGCCCCCGCACCTCCCCCCAGCCTGTTCCCAGCGGGCAGTGCTCGTGCCCGGTGCCGAGAGTGCGCGCAGGAGCGGGGGCGCCGCCAGGACCCTCCGGGCACGCACAGTGAACAGCTCCCCTGGGCTCGGCTCGTCCCTCCGCCCCACGCCCCGCCCGGCAGTGCGTCCGGGCCACCGCCGCTCACCGCCGGCTCCTCATTGAGAAGCCAACTGGATTTCGCTACTGTACTGGGGAGGAAAGGAGCCCAGGCGCTCGCACGTCTCCCTTAGATAAAGATCGCAGCTTCATGATTAACTTGGGCAGGTTCAAATATTTGCTGAGCTAGGGATTTCGGGAGGGGGAGGGGAGCCCAAGTCAAAGTTGTCATCGGCTGACAAGTGGCCAATGCAAGACCAACTTGATCATTTTCGCCTAGGAAATGAGAAGGCCATTGTGAGAGGACCTAAAATAGTCTCACTGGCTGCTGAGCGCGCTGGCTGGCTCGCGAGGCTCAAGTAGCCGACAGTGAAGCGAGGCACTATGCACCGCCAAACACAGGAAGTGGCTGAGCTAGTTCAGCAAAAAATAGAATCAAAGCCTCACTTGTAAAGGCCTGAACCTCTCGGAACAACCCAGAACACAGTGCCTCGCTCGTGTCTACCTCTTGCACCTCCTCCCACACAACAGCACAGACAGCCCCGCAGGTGTAACAGGAAAGCCCTTGTGAGCAACTCGGGCAGGGAGCAGATTACAAAAGTGTTCAATAGTAAGTAGTAGGAGGGCATCCTCGGACGAATATTAAACCCCACACCACATGCATACTATACTCCATGTTCATGTGACGATTCAGAAAAAAAAAAAAAACACCACTACGGCTATTTTTATGAGGTCGATTGCAACTCGCATTTAAATGGCCATATGACCTGCTAATTAAAAGGTGTCGCTGCATTAGGTTTATGTGCCAGCTAATGGAGTAAAGGATAGAAGGGCAGAGAAGGGCACACCTTTCTAGTGGATGTTTGCCCTTTATTTGAGAAAGTGGGCGATAGACAAGACTTGGGATTATTGACTACTATTTAAATAATTAAAATTTGATCTAAGAAAATTTTCAGTTGCATCAGCATAGATAGCTTTAAGGTTATCCAGGGAAATCACCAAACTTTACACCAGAAAGTAATTTAGAGATCAATCAATTCCTTCATGCCATAGGGGGGGAAAACAAAATCTGACCCAGGGAGGTGAAGTGGTTTGCAGAAGATTATAGCCCTAAGACTAGAACCCCATCTTCTGATGGTTTCAAATGCCCTTTTCTACCCACTGTCCCTGCTCCTCACTTCTCTTTGCTAGAGAAAGTAAAAAAAAATGGACAAAACTGAAGTTAATCTTTTAAGCCACATGCAAAAAATTTCACACCCCCAACAAAACTCTAACTCTTTCTGTTTTCTACTTTTAGCTTGCTTGAATTAAAACAAAACATTTCATTCCCTTTGAAGACATAGGTTCTTTCAATAATACCCTCATACTCTGCAAAGGAAAGTGATCCAGTGGTCACATAAAGTCCACACAGGCCAACAGTAGGAACCAGCTTCAAGGTTACTTGAAATATCTGGAAAGTGCTGTTAAATCCACGATGAAAGTGATTTTACAAACTTTCCTTTCGTGCAACTGATAAAATATTGAAAAACTTTCCCAATGGAAATAACAGTCTATAAGTGAATCTGCCATCTGATCACAGGGACATATGGTTAGTTCAGAGAATACCCTTGCATCCTGAGCTGCATAATCTTGCCCTACTTTTAAAAATAGCCTTTCTAAAGCTAGAAACATTGGAAACATCAGTCTCCTAAGCATACCTGTCTGGATTCACATGATGTTTCATGTCAAAACCTTCTAAGATTAAAATGCTCTGTTAAGTCCAACAGTATATTTTCTGTTTCAGAAGAAAATGAGCCACTGGAAAGCAGTACTCTCTCAACACATAGAGAGTAAGTCTTGAAATAGGTTGGAAAAACTTTGCCTTAAACAAATTTCTCACAATATGTACAATCATCTACCAGAGAAGTCCTATTATATTATGAAAGTGTGAGCTGAATCTTTTTCCCGTTGAATTTTAGTGTTTAAAAAGTGATCTGCAAGACACATGTTCTTTATTAGCTTAAAAAAGGGAGCCCTCTGCTGGTAGAAATGAATCGGTAACTCCTGCTTTGGGAGAAAACCATCAACTTTCTGTATATTTTGTATGTCCAAATTTGACACAAACTAATGCACCTAGTTGTATTACTGTCACTTGATCTATATGACTCACTAACAAATAATCAGCAAAAAGTACACTTTTCACGAAGCTGATAGTCTTTGAGGAAAACTTGTATTTTAATGTCAGCATTTCTCTGGGACCTCAAAGGCCTAGACACAGTGGAAAACTAACTTTACCTTCTGGATACTTTAAAACAATATGGATCATTTTCCCTTTCCTCCAAGTTTCAGAAAACTCATTTCAGAGGCCATTATTTCACATCTCAGCAGATATAGTCAGGAAAATGTCTCTTGATCCTTAAATTGTTCAAAAGTTACAAACTGAATATTTCATACGTGCAAATCACCATCAAGTGGCAAATGTTGCACAAGCAGCTTTCAACCTAGAACGCTTCTTTTTGTGGGACATCATTTATGAACAAAGACCATGAAAAAAAGAATAGACAACAAAAATTAACCAAAATCTTCATCTAAGGGTAAAATGAATACCTCCCTTCATAACTTTAAGACAGTGTAGAACAGAGGGCCTTTTAGGGTAATTCAAATTATTTGCTCCATATCCACTGGTCTTAATTGATGTTGTGCTAAGGAAAACATCCATTTAAGTATATAAATAAGCCCAGGTTTACATATGTATAAAATCTGACACATTCTACTAGATTTCTGAAAAGGCATCCCCACTGCTTAGCAGAATAAAGAACTCCCCCTCTGCAATTCTCCCTCAGATCCTGTCCCTTGAGATAAAGAGAAGTCTGCACTGTGAAAACAAAAGTAAAACTGACTATATACCCCTCCTAAACACATACATACCAAAATACCTGTGTCTCTCTTTCAAGGCACAAATAAAACTATTGTTTGACAAAACCTAGTGTGGCTTGCCTGTTTAGTTCTACACATCTAAAAACATGTAATTTTTCAAAGTTGCATTTCTCCCCTTTGAAGCAACCCTGTAATGTCAGACCACATTTTAAACCCAATAAAAATTAAATCAGTGAAAAGTAAAACTCTTTGAATGTCATTTCCCTCTACCTTAGTGCTTGCCTTTAGTCTGGGTTGAGAACCAAGCCCAGAGCATTTAAAACAAGATTTATGAATCAGGCTCTTCAGGATGAATGTTTTGCAATGTACCAGTGGTTAAAAATTAACTTTGACAGGTGTAGAAGGGCAAGGGGGAGAAAGAGTCATTTATTTTCCACTATGGGCTTGAGGGTGCAATATTAGACTTCAATTATACTACATTAATATTTCTGAATATATCCATGAAATCTGAAATATGTAAATACACTTATAATGGGTTTCATTCAAAGGCACCCTGTGTTAAATAGACTTATTTTTACCTTGGTTTGCCTACAAAAATCTACTTTACCTACCTAAGTATTAATTGGGTAAAGAGAACACAATGATTCAAGAAAACTTGTCGTTTGGCTTTAAATATTTTTAAGACTTTTTAGTAACAAAATAGAACAGCAAACGATCAACAAAGTTCAGAGGGCTTACTCTGTGCCCTACCTTTTCCAAATCTTAGCTTCCCTCCATAAATGAGGAGAATCCTTATTTCACAGGATTGCTGGATGCATTGGTTGTGTTGATGTGTGACTATTCTTTGAAAGTTGGAAGTTTATCAAAGAATAAATTTGGATAATTATTATGCTGTATCTAGTTGTCTGCTAGGAAGAGCTCAAAAGGAGAAAAAGCATTTACCCCTGCCCTTTAGAAATGTAATTAAGTAGATTAATAGGAAAAACTATAGACAGTTAAACATAAGATGACAGAAAGCTTAAAGGCATAAACATACTGAATGGGTCGACTTGCATATAAAACAGGGGAAGGATCTACTTGAGTGGAGATAAAGTGGATGGCACTGCTTGGGGCAGTTACGTATGGTTGCATATTTTGTGCACTGTGCAAAGGCACCTAGGCAAGATGGAGGAGTGGTGATGAAATCTAGGCTGCTCCATTCACCAAGCCACATATAGAGGAAGGGCTTCATACAAAGGCACCTTCCTCCCTCCAAGCAACATACTCACATCAGGGAGGCAACTTCCCAGAGTGTCTCTTTTTGCCCCTACAGGCTCCTAGAGGCCGTAGCTCTGCTGGCTGGGAACATGGCGTAAGGAAAAAGGCCTGACAGAATTCACACAATTAATGAGGAATAGGTGGACTGAAGGAACCAGACCTGCTGAATGAGGACAGCTCCCATAAGGCCTCAAAAGCTAGAGTTGATGCGATAGATAGTAGAGAAATGATCAGTTCATTAAATCTCATACCAACCCCAGGAGAGAGGCATTAACCCAGTTCCACAGTCTGGAAAACAATTTGGAAAAGCTGAGTTACTGGAAAGAGTTGAGATTCCAATCCAGATCTATTTGAGTCAGAAGCCCACTGTTTTTTCCACCGCATGGCTCATGGAGTGATTTGGAGCCTTATCCTGAAAAGTATTAACACAGTCCTGACATTGTTTACTATGTGTGACCCATGGGGGCTAATTTCACATATTTTTAGTTTATTACATGCCGGGAACTTCAGAGAAGTTTTTGATTGGACACTAAAAGCAGCCTCATTGCTCATGAAGATTCCAAAAACCCAGGCAGCAGGGCATGGCAGATAGAACGGGCTGGAGTGGAGGCGGCGGCTCCTGGGCAGACCCCGTTTGGGCCCCCACTGGCTGGGGAGCACACAGCAAATCTCTCTCTGTGGGTCTTGGTTTCCTCATGTCTAAATTGGTAAAGCTGGACAATGCTTTCAACTCTAAAATGATGCTTCTTTTGTGATACTATCACTTAAAATATGTACTGCTTTTGTAAAATACCAAGCCATTATTTTGTACTGTGTAATTTATTTTGAATAAGGCTTTAAACTCCATGCATCAAAATGCTATTTCTCCTTTGCCTATTCAAATTGTACCTATTCTTCAAGACACATTTCAAGCCCTATTTCTTCTATGAGCCTTTTCTGTCTACTCCATTACCCTAGATAGTCACCAGCTGCATCTCTGAAGTTCTTTTTGTACTTAGAGTATGTGCACTCCCACCTACCATTTAATTAGATACTATGTGCTAATGGGTCTCATTTGAACTGAAACTTTGCCTCAAACATCATAAGCTTTGTCATTTCAAGTTCTATCTGGTAATAATTAGAAATGCTGTCTATCTGCCCTATAACAGAGTCTTGCTTTTGTCTCCCTTAAATATCATTCAGGTACTCATTTGTGTTCACAACAATGTTACTGTAAATGGCCATTCACTGGAGATGTAAGGTGCTATGCTTTCAAAGTTCTATCTGGTACTAGCACATGCTGTGGCAATGCTGAAGGCCTCTAAGAAATTATTGCATTTTTTTAAACCAGGCCTAAGAATCATTTCTTCAACCCAGGTTGCCATACTAGTCATTTGCACTGGAGCCATTCCTGAATACAAAGATGTTCTGGATGGGGATGTTTTGTTCCTGGAGTGGGCAGTACAATGTATGCACACATGAGAAGATACTACAACAGCCATTTAATTCTAAAGGTCCTATATAAATCACACAAAGTTCCTGGGAAAACGGCTCAAACTAGAGTTTAAAACCTACTTGGATTTAATTTTCTAAAGAGGCCACATAAATACTGGGATGATCCAGCAAATGTTCAAGGCTTTGTCATTCTTTAGCAGAGCTGATGGAACTAATCCTCCTTTGAAACAGGCGCACCAATTGCTCAGTAGAGAAACACAGGGTCCTTTGACATATCAAACAGCTTTCTGGGTGGCATTATGAAAATAGTGCGGATACCCATTTTTACTTTGGTGGAATTAGGATGCAACTAACAAAGACATTTAACCAGTTGACACGAGTCAGGCTAATCAAACTCTACCACTGATTCTACTATACCTTGTGTAGTAGAAATTTTCCAAAATTCCATGTGATAAATTCATTTGTGGGTATCTGTCAAACCCTGTCTGGCGTTGGCTTCTATGTGTCTCTTCTCTCTAGAGGGGTGGCCACTGAAAAGATCAGGACTACCCCCACTAGCCCTTCACTGAAAGCAGAGTCCAGCTCTCCCTAGTCTCTAACATAAACCTCAACTTAAGTGCCACATGCCACATCCCTATGCCCATTCTTTTCCACTAAGTCCAAAGGCAGCCTCTGAACACCAGCACAGAGCTGTCAAATCCATTCACAGTGACCTGTGTACTCACACGAGATGAAGCCTTTTGGCCACCCCCTGGACTGAAGTCCTAGGCCCTACCTGTTGACAGTCTTCTTTGACGTAGTTTACCTAGAATTCTGGGCACTCCTGTTAAACATTCTGCTTGCTGTGATTTGGAACATCCCATGCTTGCCTTATCTACTATATCTGATGCCTCTCACCTCTGGTACCACAGGTACCATTTTGGGCCTGTCCACATAAACCTTTCCCAATACCCACATCTTCAGTGTTTACTTACCCCATCCTCTATCCTACCCCCTTGCAAGTGGCTTTTGAGTCTAGGCCCTGGCCTCTCTTAGGCTGCCCCATCCAGATGCAAGTAACCAAGCCTGGCTGTGCAATACCCAATTAAGAAAAAGCACAACTTAACTCTCCATTGCATGATGATGAAACTGAGTCCCTATGCCTGTTCATACCAAGATAAATGTGGTAATCTGTATGTATTACCTATAATAAATATATTCATGGAGTTTCATTTAAGTTCCAGGCATAAATTAAGACTACAAGCAACACCTTTTACTGGTCCTGAAACTTTACATATAGGACCCTAATCACTATTCTAAATCACCACTGTCGATTAGCTAACTTTTAACTGGTATATAGCAAAATAAGGTTGTTTAGACTTTCCACAGTAGAAGAAAAATACATCAGTTTAAATTAAATGCATTGCTAACATGGTCTACATTTCCTGCTTTGTTAAATGGCTAACTGAACAGCAGCCTGCTTTCAAAGACGTGTCTGGCTTGCTCAAACTTGCTGCAGTGAACGCTCTGGTTTCATACTGCTCGCATTATTGAAAATGTTTATTTTGACAGGCATTTCTCAGCATACCCACTTCCAAAAAACACATTCTAAAATACTTTAAATTATATAGTAATTATAAATCCCTTACTTTATAAGTATTAGAAAGAAAAACAAAAATGTCAACAACTAAAATGAACTCCATAAATTTCTTCAACAACCTGAAGCATAAATGTTGAAGGGTACAGGGAACTCTCCAAACTCTCACCTAAAACCAAGTTTAATTTAAAATCCGCAAATGTTGAAACTCAGATAATAATTAACATATACACTATCACTCAGCTATTTTTTTTCTTTAAATCACAAGGTAACATATTACTACCAATCGTAATTCCATAAGAAGCTGTATTACTTCAAAGGAGGTTTACAGCCACCATTTTTTAAGGCTCTAATAAAAGGAACAATGAGAGAATGTTACATGTTCAAAAAGCATTACCTGGTGCAGGCTGTCGTTCATTCCATTCAGTTGAGATTAAAATTTCTATAACTTTTATGAGGTTTTCAGTATTATCAGAGCTGTAAGAAAGAGAGTTTATTAGAAACCTTTTCCCTAAAAGCAAACTCATTTTCATTATATACACTCAAGTGAACGTGTGTGATAGCATTTGGGCATGCATCTCTGGAGTAGTATATTTAGAATACATTGTCATGACCAATCCATTTAGGACCACCCTCATCACCCCAAAATACATGTTCGTCTCCTTTCACTTACCTGGCTGCTGAGAATCTGAAAAGCATAGGGCTGAAAATTTCAGAGAGTACTCTTGCATTCAACAGATTTTTGCTGGAGGTTTGAGAGAGCTTGAAGAAATGTTTTAACAAATACTGAAGCGTAAGCCAATACTGATGAGGTATGCTAGGCGACCTAATAAGCTTCTTCAATAGCTGAATATATTCTTCGGAGCTTTGTACTTCTACAAGTTTAAAAAAAAAAACAAAAAGAAAAGGGAAATGAGTAAGAGACTATTTCCAGGTATCGGTGAATAAACACCTAGAAAAGCTCTGTTCTTTCTTCAAGCTATAGGAGTCATTTAAAAAGTTGTTGGGAGAAGCACACAGTACATTTGTCCTTCTCATTAAAAAATGCATTATGAGAAAGAAGAAATCTCAGGTCAAATGGAAAAGCAAGAAGCTCAGTGTGTAAAAAAAAACCACAAGCTGTTTAGGGTGTGCTGGCAGCAACTTACCCAGTATTGAGCAGCTTCAAGTGTGATTGGCTAACTCAGAGGAGCATCAGATAAGTATCACAGGTTTTAACTTTGAAGGTTACGAACCACAGTTTCCTGTCCCCAAAGCACTTAACTGAACCTTAGCTCCTAAAACTGAGAGCCCTCTTCCCTCAACACATTCTGTATGGCCACTCAGGGAAGGTGACAAGAACATCCCCCATCACTGGATCCTAGTCCCGGTTCCTTGAATCTGACACTAGTACTTGGAAGACCGTGTCCTTCATTGATGTACAAACTTTGTTAAGACCAGTAGGTTAACAATGAGCCATTTCTGATTCTGACATGCAGACGGGTTTCCCAAGCAAATGAGAATCTAGGTCTTCTCTTGGATGCCTGGGTGGAGGAGGAAATTTGAGGTGGTCTTGTTGGGGGAGGAACAGGTGGCTACTACCACTATTTTCTAACCACTATCTCTATATATGCAACACATATACAAGCATATCTACATCTCCATTTATGTCCAATGAGGTCCTCAGAAGAGAAAAAACAAACCTTGAGCTAAAGAAATCATTTCACTGTAAACGGCTGCTGGAATGACAGGATTTGGTAAGTCCAGGAGATAGCGTTTGAAAGCGTCAGCCAAAACGTGCACATCGATCATTTCCAAGTCCACAGAGGCTGTATCTAGGAAACATTTTAAGAAATATTTCAGACATTTATTTTATAGAATACATCAGTTGGGCTAATTTTCTGAACATCTGACTCATGTGACAAAAAAAAAGGAAGCAATATGAGGATAAATATAAGACACAAAGTATTTGTTAGCTGTACTTCTTGTAGGGGTTGATCCTGGCATTTGGGGTAGAACAGTTTTTCCTGTGGAGGTCTGTCCGACATATTGCAAGCATTTGGGATGCCTGACCCCCTGCCCATGATGCCAGTAGGAGACCTCTGGACTTTGGGGCAACAAAAAATAATACCTATGTTATGGGCTGAATTGGGCTGCATCTTCAGTGGTTACCTACCCCATCCTCTATCCCACCCCTCTAAGCCCAAACCCCTAGTGCCTCAGAAAGTGACTGCATTTAAGTTAAAATGAGGCCATTAGAGTGGACTCCAATCCAATCTAATTGATATCTTTCTAAGAGGGGAAATGAGGACACAGAGAGACACACTAGGGATGCATAGGCACAGAGGAAAAAACGCTGTGGACACCGTGAGCAGGCAACCACCTGCAAGTCAAGGACAGAAGCCTCAGGAGAAACCAAACATGCCTTTATCTCAGACTTCTAGCCTCCAGAACCACAAGAAGTAAGTTTCTGCTTTTTGAGACGGAGTCTCGTTCTGTCGCCCAGGCCGGAGTGCATCTCTGGTGTGATCTCAGCTCACTGCAACCTCCACCTCCCGGGTTCAAGCAATTTCCCCTGCCTCAGCCTCCTAAGTAGCTGGGATTACAAGTGCATACCAACACACCTGGCTAATTTTTGTATTTTTACTAGAGACGGGGTTTTACCATGTTGGTCAGGCTGGTCTCAAACTCCTGACCTTGTGATCCACCCACCTCAGCCTCCCAAAGTGCTGGGATTACAGGCATGAGCCACTGTGCCCGGCCAAGTTTCTGCGTTTTAAGCCAAGCTGTCAGTGGTAACTTGTTATAACTGCCTGAGCAAACGAATATAGAATCCAAACATTTCCTAACACCCTCTGAGGGTGGTTCTGCCCTGACTGAGAAGGGTTCTAACTAGGAATGGTTAGTCATATAGTAAATGTTTCCTAAAACCTCAACTGGAAAATTTGAAAAATGCATATTCCCAGATTTCCTAAGACTTGAGTTGATACATCTCAGAATTCATGTAAATGTCACCAACAGAGTGGCGGATTCAACAGTAAGATACTACAGACTTTTAGCAACCGAGCTCAACAATATCCATGAAAATAATTTCAACATTTTTAGAATATTTCTCCCTAATTCTGGCTGAGTATTACTAATCTAACCTGTGGACATCAGACTATCTCAGAAAATAAAATGAGCATACCTGTCCAGTAAATGCCTCAGCTGGGAAACAGGTCAAGCGATCCAATAACGGGGGTGATACTAATCAAAACCACTCTCCAGGCACTCACTATGCATGGCACTCTGAGCACTTGGGTTGGAAAAAGACACAATGCCCAGCAGAAAAAAGGGATGCTAGAAACAAAGATCTGGGGGCAGGGCTGACCATGGGCCTCCAGAAAAGAAGAGGCCTTTGGCTGCTGCTGAAGGATGTACACTAGCAATGTGAAGGGTAACTTGAGGAAAGTGATCTGGGGACTTGTGTACTCAGTGGAGAAAAGATGGGCTGATGGGCAAGATACTACATTTGTAACAGCTTTACTAATGACAGTGTTAAGAATAAATTAGAAAGGAGTGCTGCTAGAAGTAAAACTACCAGTTTTAGTTCTCTGAATCAAGGTGATGGGGTCTGAATTCTAATGCAGTTAGAAATGTGCAAGATATTATCAAGACCTCATATAACTCAGTGATTGACTGCATTGGGCTGTGGCCTAGGAGAGAATGAGGAAGTATGAAAGTTTACTGCAAAGTGTTTGAGTATAAGTGAGTGGGAGAAGGTAGTATCCTAGATACCCTTCAATGAAGTATGATAGTACAAATCATTCGAGGTTGAGCCTAAGACTACAAAAATTCCTTGGACATATCGTTATCATAAACCAAACCTGCCCCACTAAGTAGGCCGACGTTTCAAAAGTGAGTCACCCAACCACAGAGCTCTAAGAAAAGTCAGACTGGAATAGGATATGGACAGGTCAACTTGAGGAAAAGAATTACTAAATTTAAAAGGTGAGAGACAAAGCGTTAAATCACTTAAATGTCCTACAAGCAACTAACCAGAGACCTATCACATGTTTAACAAATGTGGGAGGGGTAATACCATTGCAGGTCTTTGCCTGAAGGATCTATGTTGAAGGTAATGCAATTGTGAGCATAATTAAATACCGTCAAATAAAATCGTGTGTGTGTGTCGCTCTAGGAATTCTCTATGGTCACCACTCTTGGCCATGCTTCTGGTCTCCCATACACTTTGCCCCTGTGTGTTTCATCTAATGTCTCTTTGCCCGGAAAATTAGTATTACTGAATTTGCTTATCCTAAAATATGTGATAAAACATTTGGTGATGCAATATAAACGTTAAGATAATAAATATACACACATCCCTCCCTCAGGCAGGGTCTCCCTCTGTGCTTTTGCAGTGCTAATGAGCCATCCCTCTATCAAGACACTTCCCAAAGAGTATAATCATCATATGGGATTATGTTTCCCCCTATTAGACCAAGGTATGTCAAGGGCAAGGACTGTGGCTGTTACCTGCTCTTCTCGCATCCCTCAGTGTCTAGCACATACAACGTGTTAAATGTTTGTGGACTGAACTAGAAGGCTCTTAGAGTGAAGTTCATTTGTCAAAGCCCTTCTCTAACACATGAGGTATATCCAAAGAACTTTTATAGTGTATGAATAAAATTATCTTATGCAGGTCTTTGGGTAATGTTACCTTATGTCAAATTCTACTAGAGTTAGTGACAAAGTCTGTTTTATTTCTCTGACTTCTGCTCTCTAAGAACCCTTTTCTGCACTGAAACTGGCCTAACGTGCCCTCCCACTAGCTATTCACACCTGTCATGTGATGACTTTTGAAGAGCTACATAATCTTTAGGTCTTGACTGGAGGAGTTTGCACTCTCTCCTACCTCACTTTTCACCGAGTCTACTCACGACAGGTACCCCGTAAACTCTTCAATCCTTCACTCCTCCCTCCCTCCCCCTGGAATGGAGTCCCCTCTTCTTCAGATCTCTCCCTAGATGTCTGGAGACATTTCTGATTGTCACACCTGGGGGAGAATGCTGCTGGCACCTCGTGGGTAGAAGTTAGGGATGTGGCTAAGCATCTCACAATGCACGGGACAGGCTGCCACTCTTCCAGCAAAGAATTATCCAGCCTAAAATGTCAATAGTACCAAGGCTAAGAAAGCCCGAGTCAAGTTAAAAGAAACCAAAAACTGTCAGGTGAAAATCTGAATCATTAAAACTCGCATGAGACAAAGAAACAATTTATTTTAGGGCAAAATTAAAAAAGAGAAAAAAATCAAGGACTTTTGGAGTCAGAAAAATTAGCCACTCAGCCACTGAAAAATGTGAAAGAAATTATTTACCTGAGGGTCAGCT